GAAGCAACGTCCTCCACAACTAGATTGAAGAACAAAACGACAGCAACTTGTCTGTTCCCCTTCCCCCAATTCCCCAGCGCTGTTCCCATCCCAATTCCCCAATAAAAAAATAAAAAAAAGATATTGAGATAATAGGGAAATTTGAATTGTCTGTATAGTAAATGATAGTAATATCCCATTTTTTGATGGGATAATGGTATTGTGGATATTTAAAAAAATTATCTCTTATCCTTTCTTATTTAAAGTATTTACAGATAACATGATAGCAATCCAGCAAGGGTAAGGAGGTTATAGATGAGATATTGGCCACATACTGATAAATGTTCAAGGTGAGTGATAATATATTAAGATTTATTGTACTATTACCTCTACCTTTGTGTGTTTGAAAATTACATAATAAAAAGTTTTTAAAAGTATTAAAAAGTGGAAAAAAGTAAAGGATTTCAAATTTAATTGGCCTGACTCAGCGCAGGAGCTGAAAATCTCAGGAGGTATCTTTAGGAATCATTCCTTCAGAACTACTTGCTAGTTTGTTGTCAGTCAGACTTTGAACTTGTTGCTTTGCCCTTTCACAGTATAAATAAGGGCTCCAGGGCATAGGTTTAGAGGGGTCAGACGACCTTTTCACAGGGGTCGCCTAAGACCATCGGAAAACAAAAAGATAGTTACATTACGATTCATAACAGTAGCAAAATTACAGTTATAGAGTAACAACGAAAATAATTTTATGGTTGGGGGTCACCACAACATAAGGAACTGTATTAAGGGGTTGCGGCATTAGGAAGGTTGAGAACCGCTGGTTTTGAGGCATAAATATTCCCTACCAGGGAGCTCTCAAAGTAACTGATTTAGAAATTAAAGGTAATCCCAGACACGTCTACTAATTTGGGGGTGTCTTTTACTTATCTCTTTTAGGGTTGCTTTAAGGTAGAAAATACACTGAAGAGCAAATAAGATGTAGTTTCTTGCTTTATTCATACGATCAACTTCTTTAATTAACCAATTAACTTCTTTGTTGCAGAGGATTGGATACTTTTAAATATTGCATTTAACAGAGTAAAGGAACCCAATCAGAAAAGGCCCCAAATTTCCAGTTAAGTGATTACTGAGAAGAAAAGGATAAACAACCAATGTCAAAAGTTGAGTTTGTGGAGTATGGTGATTTTTTTTTTTTCCATGTAAGTACTCTCCCCACAATCTGCTTTCACAAGTATGACAGCAATAAGTTTTTTATTAACTTTTACAAATTAATATAGCAATAAATGCACATGTCTGCGTAATTCTCATACACACATATATTACTATATTAGAGTGTTCTTTATAGGTTTAGAATAGACCAACACAAGCTGAAAAATCACTTTTTCGGATTTTTTGCTTCCTTTCAGCCTGTTCAACAGAATTATGAATGGTGAAAAAAAACGCTATAAAAGGTCTCCATTCCCATACTCACCCTTCCTTCCTCTCACCTGGCTGTAGGTTCCTGGAGGTTGTACTCTAGGTATTCTGATTCATTGCCTTTTCTCACTTCTCTTTTCTAACCAAGTGTCTTATCTGCCTGCAGATCACTTCTCAGGCTGAATAAAATCCGTAGGTGCATTCAATGTCTAACCTGAATCAATAAATAACAAGGCATCTTGCATTATTTTGGCCCTTCAATAAAGACTAGCTGATTCAAATCTATGAGTAAACAAAAACAGTACAGTTCAGGTAAAAAGCAATAAAACGCAGTTCTTAACAGCGACTGGTATTTCACAAGACCCGACTGCTTACTCTGAAGGATTTAAAGAATGACAATAAAATCTCTAGACGGTTCTCAGAAATACAATGCACTATACTGCTTGGGTTAATATTCAAGCGGTTAGAGCCTCAGAGTGTCACAGGATAAAATAACACAAGACAATCTCCACGTCCTGTGCAATTTAGTTTTTTGTTAAGACGTCGAATTTCCCGGAGTGCTTTATTTAAGGGCTGAAATTTAAAATTTCCTCTAGATCAAGATCTAGATTTTTTTGCATGTCAATGGTTACTTACTATTAACAGCTGTTTCAAAAATGCTCTAAATAGATCTCCATACAGGTGTACTACCAATGCAAACAAACCAGATATAAGAAAATCCAAATTTATCACCCACTCACGTTTTCCTTTTAACTCAAAGGTACTACTCACAATAGGGTTCGTTTACATAGGCATCCATTAAAACTATCCGTGTATTCGTTCTATTTACATCCGTTTCTTTCAAAAACACGTTATCACATATACTGAGAATCCACCTTTAAATCAAATGTGGCATTTAACACTATACAGAAATTAAACCCTGACAGTCGATCACGTAGTTAAGGCCGTGGGCCTGATTCCGGATCAGTTTTTTTACTTTCGTTTACACACCCCTTCTTCCCTCAGGCCGCTCAGTGTTTTTTAGTGTTAGGGTAAAAATATATGAAAAGGTGGTGGTGTGTCCCTCACGTCGCCAGTAAGCCCTCGCTGACGTTCAATGCTTAAACGTTCTGACTCATGGAAAAAAAAATTTTTAATTTAAAGGTTGTCTGTTCGTTAAACGTTTCCCGGGCAGACGCAGCCTGAACTAAACAGGGGGCTCCTGGAGAGCTGGAGGGTGGACAAAACCTGCAAGGCACTTGGGTGCCGGGAGACATCCCGCGTCTGAGGAAGGGCGGAAGCACGCTTAAGCCAGGAGGGAAATTTAAAAGGCTGGCAGACTAAACGAGAAAGAAACCGCAGGGGTTCGCGGGTGCACCGCCTACCTCCGCGATCAGCCCCCCGGTGCCCCGTGGGCCCGAAGGCCGCGTCTTGAGGGACAAGCCGGAGGGCAGCGTAGAGGTGGCTGCCGAGCGAGCCGCAGCGGCCCGGCGGGAACACGGCCGCCACGCATGCCGGGAGCTGCGCCCGCTGCACACTGGGTCGCGTAGTTCCCGCAGGCCTCACTCCAGGTTGCGGCGAAAAGCGGCCGCCTGCTGGTCCTATCAAGGCTCGCGAGGGGCCGCGCTAGATCCACCGATGAGGAAAAAGTCGGTAACACCGGGCCGAGGGAGCCGGGCCAAGTTTCCCCCTCCCTGTGAGAAGGACGGAAGGAAGGAGTCTGCCACCTTCCCTCTCAAATCCCATTCAGATACTGGGCAGAGGGGAGGGCCTGACAGTGCTACTCCTTTAAGAGGAGGCGGGGCGCAGCCTGCCGTTTGGCCTTCCTCCGCACCCGCCCCTCCGGCCGAGAGTTGACAGACCAATCGCCCGGGTGGCGGAGGGAAGGCGGGAGAATGCGAACCCTTCTGTAGGGCGGTAGGGGCGGGCCCCCGGCCTTATTAGGAGCGAGTCCTGCGCAGGCGCAGACGCGGCCGCAGGAGGAGGGGCGGGGGTAGTCCAGTGAGAGACTCTCCGACAGGCACAGAGGGTGATTGGGAGAAAAGGAGGCAGCGAGCGGCTTGTCATGGGGATCTGAGCTACGACAAGGCATTAGTAGCATCTGGGAACTCCGAGGGGTACAGGACGTGTCAACGTCCGGGACCCCGGCGCTTGCTCCGCTGGGGGGATCCCCGCTGCTCTAGTCCTGGGGAGGGAGGGCAAAAAGGAGGGAGCCCTGATCTCGCCCCGCCCCTGGGCTTGTTACCGCGGGGGCGGGGAGTGAGGGCTTCTTTTGGGGGGAGTGGAGATCGGGGGACTCGGCTGTGCCCTCTTGAGCGGCTGCCGGTGTCCCCGCGGCGCCGGGCTGCGGAGCAGAGGAGCCGCGGCGGCCGTGACTGTTGCATGTGTGGCTGCTGGATGCGGAGGCGGCGGCGGCGGCGGCGGAGAGGAGCAGCAGCGACGGCAGGATGTTAGGACAGCAGCAGCAGCAACTCTACTCGTCGGCCGCGCTCCTGACCGGGGAGCGGAGCCGGCTCCTCACCTGCTATGTGCAGGACTACCTCGAGTGTGTGGAGTCGCTGCCCCACGACATGCAGAGGAACGTGTCTGTGTTGCGAGAGCTGGACAACAAATATCAAGGTAGGGGCCCGCGGGGGCTGCCTGTGCGGGTCCTCCCCTCGCTCGGATCCTCTGGCCTCCCGGCGCCGTCTCTCGGACCCTTCCCGGGGAAGTGACACTTTGCATTTCTACTGTGATTGTCTCCCCGAGTGCACAGAGGGGGTTTGGTGTGTGGGACGGGGGAGAGGGACGGGAGACCGGGTTCGCGGCCCTCCCTGCCCCTGCTGCGGTCGGCGAGGACTTCGGTGGGGTCTCAAGGGTGGGGGTGGGGGCCGCTCGTCAGCCCCCGCTGCAGACCCAGCGGCTGCAGCTGGCGTGAAGAGAAATCAGCCATTTTAAGCAGCAAGCATTTGTTTCGGCACTGGCTTGCCCCGTGCCGCAGACCCGCCTGCCCCGGCGAGGGAGCGTGCCGCCGGGCGGAGGGCCGTAGAGAGTGAGCGGGCGGGCTCCCGCTGGTCTCCCGGGCCTGGCTTCCCTCAGCCCCCTTCGGCCCCCACCCCCTGAGAGCAGATACATTGGAACGTGCGGGGGGAGGGGGCGAGAGAGGGCCGCGAAGGCGGACTTCGGAGAGGTCCCTCCCTCTGCTCGCAGACTCCGGGCTCGGGAATCGGAGAGTCCGTACCCCTCTCCCGCCCCAGGTAAAGTTCCGGGCTGTACCCTTTTCCCAGCTCCTTCAGCCAAATGGTTAAAAGGGGAGGGGGGGTCCCTGCGGGTAAAGGAAGAGGGGTGTGTGTGTGCGTGTGTATGTGTGTGTCGGGGAGGGCACCCCCTGTTCCTGGGGGCGGGGCCCGAAGGCGTGACGTAGAACTTGGGAGGGGCGCGGGCGCTGCTGCCCGCCTCGAAAATGGCTGGTTGCTGGAAGACTTGGGCGGAGCTGTCTGGTTGGGAGGGCGTCCGAGCCGTGCAGGACCTTAGTTCATCCCTAGCAGAGTCAGTATTGGGGTTTGGGACATGTTTGTTGTGATTCTTCGACTCTTTCCAAACCACTCAGTCATGACGAGGACACAGTCAGCTCCTGGGACCACCGCTGACCCTGGCACCGCGTAGTTTCCGGGCTTGCGTTACTTCCGGGACCCAGGAGGAAGTGGGTGGTTGACTGGGCAACCGCCTGGCGTCCCTTTAACCCCTGGGTCCCTCCTTGGCCAAGTTTAAGTGATGAGGCAAAAACCACCCTTTGTGATCAAACTCAAAAAGCTAGGACAGGGAATCAACCCTTCTTACAGAGGATCATTTATCATCCACTTTTTGTGGACCTTTCCCCTGCTAGTAGGAGGGGAAAAGTTTAAATGGAGAGCCGCTGTGCTTTTAATAACTCTGATTCAAGGAACAGACCTTGGACATAATGTGGAAACAGCCGTATGGACTTTAAACAGATGATTTCTTGGACCTGTTCTCTGTTTTTTAGACACGTCATTAATCTTATGATTTAGTTTTTAAGGGACCCACTTCGGGGGTGACATTTCTGGCCCTTAACATGTTAGAGTATTTAATGGTCTCTGTGTTTTAGAATCTGTAATTTATTTCTGCCTTTTGAATCCATGATTGTTAGAACAGATCTCTGTTAGGGGGGAAGAGAATTAATACCGATTATTTATTTTTTGTCAATCGCTGTGCCAGGTTTAGAACATTATCTCATTTAATCCTCACAATAACTATGAAGTTGAAATTTATTTTATGGATAAATTAAAACTTACAAGTTTAAAAGTAACTTGTCCAATTAGGTGGAGAATATTTGACTTCACAGCCTGACTTCTTCAGGTACTCATCCCTGTTTTTAAACTTTTAACTTTTTATTGTTTTAAAATAAAAGCTCACCAAAGGTATTTCCTACAGACTTGGTGCACATATAGTACATGAATTGTAACCCAAAAATGATACATACATGCTTAAGAATTGTATATTGAACATTTTTAGTTTTTCAAATAATAATAGGTCTGAAGTGTGTAAAGATTGCAGGTTATTACATTTCTTTAAAAACACATACCTGTATTTGCCTTCACAAAAGTTAGGCTGTTTCTTTTTATTTGAAATGGGTGTGTGTGTGTGTGGGGGGGTTTGCTGGGGGGACAGATGACAATTTGTTACAAGGAAATCTTCCATTTTGACCATCTAGAATTGTCATAAGTTGTTCTGGTAACATGAGAAACAGCATTAGGTCTTAAAAGAGAGATTGTAAAATTTTCGGCTCCATTAAGATTGTGGTTAGTTTCAAGATTAATATGAAAACAACAATCTAGTTTTCACTCTGTGCACATGCTTACTAAGTTCAGCTTGCATGGTTTTATGTTTTATATATTTGTGTGTTCTTGGTTCAGATTTTATTTTTTTGCTAGTTCTTATTTTTCTGTTTTTGGATCTAACACTGCAGTATTTAGTGATATAAATTATATAGGCAGTCAAAGAAATTTCCTACCTTTCTGAGATGCTTTCAGAAATTACTGAAGAAGCTTAAAAGTAATCTTAACTTAAAATAGAGAAATGAAGAAAATTTTACAATTGAATGAAGTATTATTTATTATAGGATATGGTTATCAGAGGACCTCAATTTTTGTTCCAATATTTTTGCTCATAATTTCTTGGGTAAATAACCTTTGAACTAAAAGGTAATACTTAATTTCAAGTACCTTGCATGCAGCTTAGTAGAAAATGCTTAAATGGCAGTCGGTCAGACATATCTGGCAGAGTTCAAAGTCTGGGCTTACCTCTTGAGCTTCATTTTTTTCATATGTGGAAGTGATGGCTTTCTCTTGGGTTGCTGTGGGGATTAAATAAGAAAATACCTTAATTTGGAAAGATATATACACCCCTATGCTCACTGCAGTGCTATTTATAGTAGCCAAGATATGGGAACAACCAAAATGCCCATCAATAGACGACTGGATAAAGAAAATGTGGTACACATATAATGGAATATTACTCTGCCATAAAAAAGAATGAAATCTTACCATTTGCGACAACATTGATGGACCTAGAGGGTATTTTGTTAAGTGAAATAAGTCAGACTGAGAAAGACAAATACCATATGATTTTACTTAAATGTGAAATCTAAAGAACAAAATAAATGAACAAACAAAACAAAAATAGACTCAGATACAGAGAGCAAACTGATGGTTACTAGATGGGAGGGGGCTTAGGGGGCTGGGTGAGAAAAGTGAAGGAATTAAGAAGTACAAATTGGTAGTTACAAAATAGTCATGGGGATGTAAAGTACAGTATGGGGAATATAGTCAACATTGTAAAAACTGCGTATAGTGTCAGGTGAGTATTAGACTTATTGGGGGGATAACTTCATAAATTATATAAATGTCTAACCAATATGCTATATGCCGGAAACTAATATAAAATAATATTGAATATCAACTATAATTAAAAAAAATAGTCACAGGGATATATAGTCAAGTAGGAAATATAGTCAATAATATTGTAATAATTGTGTATGATGTCAGATGGGTAATAGATTTATTGGGGTCATCACTTTGTGAGATATATAAATGTCTAATTATTATGTTGTTTTGTACACCTGAAACTAACAAAAGAAAATACCACATAGAAGGGGCTCAGTAAGTGTTAGTTTCCTTCCTTCACTTCATAATTAGGGTGTCTTAAAAATGTGATTTTTTTTTTTTTAAGATTTTATTGGGGAATTGGGAAAGGGGAACAGCCAAGTTGTTGTCCTTCAATCTCAGTTGTGGAGGGTGCAGCTAGGTCAGCTCCAAGTCCAGTTGCCATGTGGCCCGCCCATCGGCAACTTAGGGCAGCTCAGCTCAAGGTGCCGTGTTCAATCTTAGTTGCGGGTGGGCATAGCCCACCATCCCATGCAGGAGTTGAACCGGCAATCTGTTAGGAGCACATGCTCTCACCAGCTGAGCCATCCTGCCACCTGTTGGCAGCTCAGCAGCTGCTCAGCTCGGGCGCAGCTCACTGGCCCGTGTGGGAATCGAACCAGAGATCTTGTTGCTCAGGGCTCGTGCTCTTAACTAACTGAGCCACTCGACTGGCTCCCAAAATGTTAATTTTTGTCTTTATGTATAATATCACTGTGCTGATGTGATATAATATAATTCGCTTGAAACTCCTCATTATTAGATACAGAATGTTTGAAATAAGGTTTACCTTTATTTTTTAACTCTCAAATTTTGTATTTAGGGAAAAATATATAATTTTCTTGTTTGGAAGAAAATTAGGTTCTTAAGAAATGTATTTACATACCTAAATGGACAAATGGGCTAGATATGAACTTTGTTTGCAAATACACTGTGTAGGCATGAGTACCCTCAAATGTGTGGTGCCACTTTGTCCTGTATCCCAGGTTAAGCAGTTGTCCATCAAGTATGAGTACCTACAATTTTAAAGAGGAGCTAATTCATAAGAGTTGTGTTGAATACTTGCTTTGTGTTATCTTACTTGTAGACAGCCCCAATGTATATATTTTACTTGTCTAACACTTCTGTTCTTATCATTAGAATAATAATATTGGAAGATAAAACAGTGGTATGCCATGTGGTATGGTAAATTAGAGTTAACTTTTTGTTTCTCCACCTTTAGTAAGACAGAACTTTTTAAAAGTAACATATCTTATAAGGATAAGAAATAGAATGGGTTTGAATAAAAAACTAATCTTAAGTAAACTTTTGGCGACATCTAGGGCTATATTTTCAGATTTTTATATAGTACCTGCTAGTGACTCAGCCATTTTTAGTTGATTTAAATGTGTTCCACATGCTATACAATACCTAACTCAGCAGTTAAAAAGCTTAGAATGAACTGCTGAGTTATCTACAAAAGACTAGTGATCCAATGCTGACTTTATTGTAATTTTGTTAGTTGCTTAGTCAGTTGATGCCAGAACATGAACCTAAACCTACTCTAGAAATAGTTTAGTTTTCAGGATCTCTCATGTGACAAAATAAAAGAGCCATTAAAACTAATATGATGGGAAGCTAAGAGTTACTTGTGTCTGCTTTGCTTAAGAATGTCCAGGGGTATGATATGAAAGTAAAGGTGTAGTGTCTTTTGGAGTCATGTAGCAAGTCATTGATTGAACTGTAAATCCTGTAAACACAGTTGAACAGTAATCTGTAGCCTAGTCCTGGTACTTCTTTAATTTTCACAGCTGGAGTTGGGCTTGTAAATTTTATATACAGGGTTGTTTTGAGGTTCAAATGAAATATAGGCAATACGGCACTAGGTAGACTCTAAAGTGGTATACAGTGAGCCTACCCATGTAAAATACTTTTGATTATTTATTAGCCTCACATCTCTTATCCTCTTTAATATAGAATAATGAGTATTAGAGAATTGTGTCCTTTTTTATTAGTTTATTTCTAAATATACTTTAATATTGGAAAACATATGACCTTTGTATGGGAAATAATGTTTTTTAATGTTACATACTATAGGAGAGTGTGGTTTTATGGTTTGAGATTGTTCTAACTTTACTAATTCTGTGAAACATAACTGACTTGAAAAATACTATATGTGCTTACACACAATACCATTCTGATTTTCATTTTCCTTTTTTAGAAACATTAAAGGAAATTGATGATGTCTATGAAAAATATAAGAAAGAAGATGATTCAAACCAGAAAAAACGCCTACAGCAGCATCTCCAGAGAGCATTAATCAATAGTCAAGAATTGGGAGATGAGAAAATTCAGATTGTCACACAAATGCTCGAATTGGTAGAAAATCGGGCAAGGCAAATGGAGCTACATTCACAGTGTTTTCAAGATCCTACTGAAAGTGAACGAGCCTCAGATAAAGCAAAAATGGATTCCAACCAACCAGAAAGATCTTCAAGAAGACCCCGCAGACAGCGAACCAGTGAAAGCCGTGATTTATGTCATATGACAAATGGGATTGAAGACTGTGATGATCAGCCACCTAAAGAAAAGAAATCCAAGTCAGCCAAGAAAAAGAAACGCTCCAAGGCCAAGCAGGAAAGGGAGGCTTCACCTGTTGAGTTTGCAATAGATCCTAATGAACCTACATACTGTTTATGTAACCAAGTGTCTTATGGGGAGATGATCGGATGTGACAATGAACAGTGTCCAATTGAATGGTTTCACTTTTCATGTGTTTCACTTACCTATAAACCAAAGGGGAAATGGTATTGCCCAAAGTGCAGGGGAGATAATGAGAAAACAATGGACAAAAGTACTGAAAAGACAAAAAAGGATAGAAGATCGAGGTAGTAAAGGCCATCCACATTTTAAAGAGTTATTTGTCTTTTATATAATTCTTTCGGAATTTACTTTCAGAAAATGTTTTAGGGTAAATGCATAAGACTATGCAATAATTTTTAATCATTAGTATTAATGGCATATTAAAAGTTGTTGTACTTTGTCTGTGACCTTAATTTTCTGCACTGAATTACCAAATATTTTATACCAGGTAGTCTTTAGATCACCTGATGAAAGGAGCAGGGAATAGGGAGAGGGTGGTGTGAACATTATAAAAACTTCACAAACCATGCCTATTTCATTTTCACTTAAAATGCAATGCTATTTTTTGGGTAAACACCAAAGATTTGCTAGCATTTTAGTTCTACATGCTTAAGAAATTTAGATGTAGTTGGAGTTCTCTGCAAGCATTCAAATTATCTTGGGTAACTTAAATTACAAACACATACCACTGACAGCTTCTTTCTCCCTGGCCCCCTTTATACATGTACTTGTTCATCTCTAGTCTTCCAAGAATTTAAGTAACTAGAGATAACAATAATTTGGGATTCCATGTGGAATAATGTGCTCTTAATTAGAGTATTTGCTGCTGTCTTTTCCTTAGTAGCATTTTGATACACTGCCAGTAGCCCATTTGTAAATGCCTTGCTGCTGCTTCATAGACACATCCTCATCTAGTGCTTAATAAGGGAGTTGTGTTTTGTTTTGTTTTAATTGGGACAGATAAAGAGTTAGAATACCCAAAATGCTGCCATTGGCTTATATTGGCAAAATTTGAGTTACATAGTATCATGGTTCAAGGTTGAGCAATTAAAAAAAATGCATCTTATTTAATATTTTCTACATTGACCCACTGCTGGGATGCCTAGACACAGTCCAATCAGTGGGAAAAGGGCATATACTTTATGTCAAATGGCAGTTTAAATAATTTTGCTAGTGGCTATCATTAATTTCTAGCCCAATCAGTGATGATTATTATTTTAAGTAACAGTGTATTTACTTTCTTAACTTTCTGGTATTGGTGCTGTTTGATGTCTTCATGTTTAATGAACTAATTTCATTAATAATGCAATTGATAATGTATTTGTAAACTGAATTTTCCAAGATCCTAATATTTTAAGGGTAAGCATCTTGATGGATATATGTCCATATAGTCAGAGAATTTTGGGGTTTTTTTGGGGGTTGGGGGCAGTGGATTGACTAGTCCTTTAAATCTGTGTATAACATACTTTTTGTTCCTTATTTTTTCCCCTAATCTGATGACCTTGATTCTTTTTGATTAACATGTGAAAAGTCCTGTCTGCTTCTTTGGAAAAAGAAATTGTTTTTTTCTCTTCTAGTTCTCCTGTGTGACTTTTAGGCATGTCATTTCACCTCACTGGGTATCAAGTTATGTGTGTGAAATATGAGGTCGGCTTAAATATCTCCAAGGTTCTTTTGAAATCTCTAGTATTTGCACTGTTGTAAGGATTTTAATAATCAAATGACTGGTTTTCTCTTGCATAAATGTTGTCCTTCATTCTGAGGTATGAAGACATTTTAAAGGAGAGCTTAGAGACAGGTAAATGCACAGTATTTGATTAGCTTCTGTCCTAAGGATATTTTGATTGATGACTAGAGTTGATTATATTACTTCTTGAGCAAGAAATATTGGACAGCATGATTAAGAACTTATTTTATTGTAACTTAGTTGAGCGCTAAAGAAATCATTTTCTCCCTTGAGAGGATAGCATTTTGTCTTAGTGGTTACATTCTTGTTACCAGGATAGAGCTATTTGCTTGACACCATTAAAAATATCAGTATGTGCAAAGCCCCCGAAAGCTTTCAGATGTTACTTATATAAAAGTCAACACTTTTTTTATACATAAATTTGCCTCAGCATATCGGGAAAAATAAACTTCCAAATAGACGTGCCCAAATTTGGATAAGGCTCGACAGGAAAACAAATGTGGGAAATCCTGAAAGATGTGCTCTTTTTAAGACCTAGTGTTTGAAACAGTTTTATTTTTATAAATTTCTTTTTGTTTTCTATACCACATAGGAAATAGAAGTCTTATGACTAAGGTTTCTTTTTTCAAGTATTATAGATTTCATATACTATCTTATATGATGCTTACCAACTTATACTATATACCAGTGGTTCCTAAACTTATCTCACATTGGAATTACCTCAGGAGCTTCAAAATATACTGATACTTGTGTCCCATTCCCAGCAATTGTGATCTGATTCATTTAAAATATGGCTTAATAGAATTTTTAAAAGATCCTCAGATAATTCTAATGTACAGAAAAGTCATAGAACCACTGCCATATTTGAAAATTTGAACCTATGGAAAACTCCTGGTGGATTCTCTACATCCCGATTTGTGTGACTCCGAGGCATATATACTCGTAAGTGCTGATACATACGTGAGAGTTTGTTCCCTGCCCCCAACAATTCCACCAGTAACGCTTGAAGACTCAATCCTTGAGTGTGTCTTGTGTGCTAGGCACCATTCTAAGCAATTGTGGCTTAAAAAGAAAAAGTCCCTGCTCTTGGATCATACATTCAAGTCAGATATATATACACATGATATATATATATATATATATATATATATATCATGTCAGGTGACCGTGGAAGTGTTAAAAGGAAAGGAGATAGACAATGAATGGAAAAGGAGCTGAGTCTTTTAGTTACAGTGATTAATAAAGGCCTCTCTAAGGAAGGGCCTTTGAGCTGAAACCAGAAAGAAATTAGGAAGTAAGGCAGGCAGAGATTTAGGGGAGGGAGGAATAGAACAAACTTATCAATTTGACTAGAGCACAGCATTTGACAATGTAGAAAGGGCTAGAAAATGTTGGTACTTGGAAGCCATGGTAGAAAATTTGGGAAGATTACTGGATGCTGTGTCAAAGGGAACCTTAGTGAAAATAGGGAGATTTTGGAGACTCCTTCAGAAGTCTTTGCCCCCAAAATATTGGTGACTTAACTAAGGTGGTAGCAGTGTTAGTGGTAAGTGGTAAGTGGTAGGACTGCCTATGTTTTAAAGGTACAGCCGTTAGGAAGACTTTGGCCCAGGGATTGAAAAGCAAAAAGATGGTAAGGATGACTCTTAGATTTTTGGCTTGAGGGAAAAATCCAGATTTCTATTTTGCACTTAGGTTTGAGATGCCTGGTAGATTGCTAGTGGGATTCAGCATGGAGCTGGGGGGCTGAAGTTGCAGGAAGAGGACAGGAGATAAACATTTCGAGTTAGCCTATGAAAGCAGTTTAAAGTCATGTCGCTGAAATCACTCATGTAAGTAGAGCAGTGCTTCTCAAATTTGAATATGCAGATGAGTCACCTGGTTAGTTTTTGACAGTGCAGATTCTGATTCAGTAGGTCTGGTGTGGGGCCTGAGATGTTAACATTTCTAGTAAGCTCCTCGGTGATGCTGATGCTTCAGGTTCAGGGACCCACGTTTTGAGTAGCAACCATGCAGATGGGAGACAGAGGGTAGGGTCGGGGGGCTTGTGGTATTCCAGCATTCAAAACAGGGAGGAGCCAGAAAAGGAGACTTAGATCTCTTAGGGAGATATACCAGAAAAATGTGGCACACCAGAAACAAAAGGGAAGTTTCAAGAAGAGTGATCTCTGAAGCGCTATTAATAAGATGGGGACTGTGAATTAACCATTAGATTGGGAGTATTGTTAAGTTTAACAGGCAGTAAATTTAGGGGATGAAGGGTTAGTTGGAGTGGATTGGGAGCAAAGGGATTGAAGTAGTAACCAATTCTAGACAACTCCAGTTTTGATGTACAAGGGATGACTGGGATGTAGCTGAGGGATGGATGAGCTAAGGGAGGGTTTTAAGATCATATAGCATGATCGCACGCTGATTGGAATATTACATTAGAAGGGGGCGAATGGATGCTGTAGGGTGGAGTGGATTATAGGAGTGTAATCTGAATAGGCAGGTGAGAGAAAACTAGGACTCATGAGGGGTTAGTCTCCATAGGCACAGGGTCAGTTACAGTTCATGTGTCAAAAGGGAAGGCAGGGTTTTTACTCATTTATTCAAATACTTATTGTGCAGCTCTTGTTTACAAGGCGCTGCATTAGTTAGGTACTGGGGATAAAGCCGTGACTATAACACGACAAAAGTCTATATCCTGATGGTGCTTAGATTCTGGAGTGAATGGGTGTAAATGCAGATAGCTTGCTAAATTTGGAATTGGGAAAATGAGATCATTCTCTTCTAATAGCTTCTACTTTCCCAGTGAAGGGCTAGAAGAGGGAAGGCATGTTGGGAGTCCGTAGGAGTTAGTGAGGTATGTGTGAACTATCGCTTAGGAGAGTGGCAAAGTGAATGGACCAGGAATGCCAGTCAGAACTGTGGGTCTGCTGAAGTCTTTGGTCATAACTTCAAGTGAACTGATAACTCGTTCTGTTGCCTGTAGGCAGGCATGAAAAAAGAGAAAGGTACAAAATCATGTCAAATTTCAAAATCTCTACAGTAAGCCAGAAAATTGCAGCTCCCCTATCCTTTTTCGGTACCCAGTATGTGGCTCCCTCTGAGAGGTCTGTCCTCCTTCCCCCACACTTGAAATGGAGAGAAGACTGACTTCAAGGAGCAGTTGGTGTAAATAAGTTAGTCAGCTTTTTAGCCCTTCCCAAATGATGTCTTTACAGCTCGATGCCATTCAAATCTATTTTAAGTAAAGTATAAGTTGGAATTACCTTTACGATGTTCCTAAGTCCTATATACATCAATTAGAGAAACCAAAGCCCCTTTATCATGTCTCAGTTCAGTGTGAGGGCAGAGCCCTGGACCAGGATTCCAGAGCTGGGGACTTCTTGAGCATCACAGTAGGTCACTTGTCCTTGGCCTGCAGTTGGTTCAGCTGTAAAATGAATAATTAAGATACGGTTATCCTAAAAATGTTATTATTCGTGTCCCTTAATATTTGAGGAAAGAGTTTGCACAAAGTTACTAATTGGGTAGTTTATTAAATAACATCTTTTAATTCATGTATGTGGTAATGACTTGAAAGCAGCGTTTTCTAAACTTCAGACAACGATCTTGATGGATTTTGACATTTTCATATACCATTCTAATTTTATATTTAAAAGTATTATTTACTCAATACTTTTCTTAAAAGTGACTCACATTTTGATGTCAATTTATTTTGAAAAGCG